ATAGTGGGGATTTATCGGAAAGTATACCCTGGAGATTATCGAGGATGGACTGAATGATGAACAACTGAACATGGAGGGAATAGACATGACTGGTCACAACTGTTCGAAATTTTTAGTGAGAGAGTGAGTTTGGTTTTACTGTGCTTTTAGCAATATTCCAACAATATCATGGCAGGGGACACCAGAAATGGGCAGAGATTGGGAAAGGCAGGGGCCATGGGCCAATTGCACATTAGAATAAGAAATGGCCCATTAAAGTTTACTATTGACACAAGGGCAGTGGTCAATTCTAAATTCAGAAAATAGCTAATAATCCTGAAAATGGCCCATTGTCAAAGTTCTCTATCCCAATCCCTGAATGGGCTTCACACATTGCACCGAACCCTGGGCCTTCAGCGTGATGAACGAATGCTAAAACCACTAGGCTACCCAACTGCCCCCGAAGTCTTAAGTCATGAAGATAAAAGTAACTTCATAGGTAATGGAAGAGTTCATCTTAAGTTTAATGGCATTATTACTAAGTAAGGGAAACTCATTACTCGTTGTTCGGTGCAGAAAATCTGAGGAGGTATATCATAGACAATTCTGGATTCAAACTCATGAAGCGAATCCTTACAGCTAAGGGTCAGTAACTCTGTAAAGTGGTATCTAGAATACACATGGACTCAATACTTTGACGCTGGGTATGTATCTTTGCAAATGAATCAGAAAAATGTTTCTTGGGCAGGATCATTTCTTTTAGCGAGCGTATGATTTTGATTCTGTTGTTCTTACAAAAAGCACAGCAAAAGATTACACAAACATTAAATACAAGCTTCAAACCCTGTGAGGAAAACAGTTATTGTATCAAATCATAAATCATTCTCTAACCCAATAAATATAAAGGCTGGAATGGGATTTCATGGATGAAATGTCTAACATCCTTTTCTCATAAAAATTGAAAAAAGGTAAAATTCACAAAATGCAGTATGCATCCACTGAGACCCACTGAATGTTTCTGCATGTTTAGGAATGAGTGAGTGAGTTTAGTTTTACGCTGATTTTAGCAATATTCCAGCAATATTCAAGCACTATCATGGCTGGGGAATGGGGACGCACCACTAGGATAGGGATGAATGGCTTGCAGCACTATTGCACCCATGGGGAATCAGACCCTAAGTGAGTGAGGTCTTCTGATTTTAGCAATATTCCAGCAATATTCAAGCACTATCATGGCGCGGATATGGGCTTCACACATTGCACCCATGGGGGAATCAGACCCGGGTCTTCGGCGTGACAAACAAACGCTTTAACCACTAGGCTACCCCACCTCTCCTGTTTAGGGATGAATGCTGACATTTTATAACTTAGTGCAGCTTAAACTATCTATCAAGTAATACAATATATACATATTCATATATTCCGTATATGACCGTCTATAAGACGACCCCATGGATAAGACGACCCCCAAACTTGACCCTTAAAATCAGTGTCAAAATGGTATGTTTCGTGCATAAGTCGATCTCCGCGATGGGGTCCTAATCGCAACAAACACAGACCACAGACAACTGGCAGTTATCAATAATTATAACAATTGCAAATTTGACGTCTCTACTGACAAAGTCGTCTTCTGTTGTTTGTTCACGCGAAGTGATGTTTTCTTACCCCTGGAAAAAAGTTTGACGAAAAGCGTAACTCATGGATAAGACGACCCCCTTCTACAGACTGCTTTTTTGGGTCCTCAAAATTCGGCTTATATACGGTCATATACGGTCCATATTCATGTGCTTCATGACATTCAGCATCAACACATTGGATCTTTTGTTTTTGTGTGCTTTTTTTAAGCTGCACTCAGCAATATTCCAGCTGGCGGCTGACACTCGCCACTCACTGACACTCGCCCAATCAACAAATACTTTGATTTCCATTTGTTCATATGATTTGTTCTCTTCCACTTTTCATTTACAATTGTTTTATCTGTTGTCACTTTGTATTTCTATAGACACTTTAACTGACCTGGAAATATAAAATCTTTTCAAAGAACATGACATATCTCTAAAGATTTGATGTTAACAGTGCTGATTTTTGTACAATTTGACAATAATTTTGGGAAAGGCAGGGGCCATGGGCCATTTTGCACATAAAAATTTTGAAATTTACTATTGATACAAAGGCAGTGGCCCATTCTAAATTCAGAAAATGGCTAATAATCCTGAAAATGGCCCATTGTCAAAGTTCTCTATCCCAATCCCTGAGCTAACACGTCTGAAAGCTATGACTACACAATGCCATTTCGAAAGTGGTCAAATGCAATTTACGTTCATGGTCGGGCAAACTAACTGAACACCCCTGTCATGAGCATGCAAAATCTGATGTTACTTGCAGTAGTCTACTATTTTCAGTGTCACAGACCCAATTTCTTGACCTGCAATCCCTAAAATTAAAGCTGCTAGACTGAGAAACCCTGAAAGTCGTTCTTCTTGCTACTTCTCTTGTAACATATGTTATATTTGGGATTACACATTCTCTGTTAAGTACAGATTTTAATTCATTTTAAGAATGAGCCCCATCTGGGATTCCAAGCCACACTCCCTGAATCGGGCACCTGATCGCCGGCACACAAAGTCAGTGATCTCAATTTCTCAGCCATCTTGATTTCCACTGTCTGAGTGAACTTAGACTCAGTATTATTCGTTACACTGCTATACTGAGTCTAACAAAACCTAGTAGAAGGTCGCATCAGCTAACCTTTGAGCGACCTATGACCGTCCAATCAAACGCGAGACGACCGAATGGATTTAACCAATTAGACGACTACTTGCTAGGGTTCGGCGGGACTTACAAAACGGTTTTCGGATTTTCTCTTCCCCGGTTGCTGACACTGATCTATCAACAAACGAAAATCTGCATAAAGCACCGATATTTGACCTGCAGTATATACGATTATGGCTTTCTAATGACATGGTAACTATTTGCTTATATTTTCGCAAGATGACATCCTTGAATATTGACAAAAACACTGTTTTCAGTGACTGCTTACTCATTGTGTGTATCACTCGGAATCGATAGTGCGGAAAATAGCATTCGAAATTGTTGAATTTTTTAGGTAAAGGTTAAAACGGTATATGCGGATGTTAACTTTCACGATTTGGTAAGCTGTGTTCTGATTGGTCAGTCCAAAAGGTTAGCTGAAGCGACCATCTACTAGGTTTTGTTAGACTCAGTATAGCAGTGTAACGAATAATACTGAGCCTAAGTTTACTTAGACTGATTTCCACAAAATGGAAGTCGGACAACTGGTAGTCTAGATAACCTTGTGTACCTTCTCACAGTGTAAAGCTCACACAACAGAAATCTTTGACGATACAATGCTATTTAGAAATTCGACAAATGCGACGTTTTATTTGCGAATACGCTTTTTCAAGAACAGATTCTAGAACTATTTTCAGGTTCAGCCACATCCAAGAGTGTGGACTGCTGAAGACCAATTCTAACCCAGATCTTGAAAGGCAGCAGTTTTTTATCAACCAATCAGATACAACAAAAGAGAATGCGATGCAAACTAGAAAGTAAAAATATAATTTCAAACAATATACTGGTCACAAATACATTTTCCTTTTGTAAACTGTTACCATGGTTACAATGGTTTCAGATTTTAGCCTTTCAATTAGTTCACAGGTAAAAATGTAACTGTGAATCTACCTCACTCAGTGTACTTTGATTGGCATAAACTACAATAGGTATATATATATGCATACATACATGTACTACAATGCAAATTTTCTAATGGAATAAAACCTTATTGATAGGCTTTCATTTGATTCTTTTCAACATGATGTGTACAAGGTAAAAAACATAACAGTTGACAGAAACATTTTACAAAATAACAATAACCTATCTACTTATCCACTCAAGAGCTTACATTTATGGCTAAATAGAAAAATATACTTTAAAAACATGAGAGAACTGCAGAAAAAAACCCACTTCTTACTTGCTATAAACATGAACAGCAAAGATCTTATGACATCAAATTTACAAACGTCATACATATAAAAACATAATGCATATCCAATCATACTGACCAGACAATAATTTCTGTTTTAGACAGAATCCGAGTATGCATGGCTTTTTACAAATTAAACAGTATTTTACATGTTGTCATGTGGTTTAACTTGATGAGAGAAAATTCCAAACATATGCATGACTTGAAACCTTGCATGGGAATGGTGAAAAAACCCCAAGTAATACAAGGGAGCATCTGGATTTGAACCCATAATCACTGTTTTCTGGTACAACTAAGGGGGGCAACCCTGCAGAGAAGATAAACAGGGTTTTGAAGCATGATCTTAAATATACCAATCTCTAAAATACCAACCCTATAGAAATGACAGAGATGGGCCCCATTCCATTAAGTGTTCACAGCACTTTGATTGTCATTGGTCATTGTGAAGAGAATGAGTGGTACAACTGTCTCAGTCCTAGGGCTGGGATGATACACTGTCACGATACAAAACGTATCGCGATATTTTACCTGCGATACGATACGTATCACGATACATACACCTTGAAAGAATGACAGTATTAAGATTTAAAAGATTTATTTGAAGGTATTTTTGTATAACAATAACACTATTGTAATAAACAAACAACTAAATCATACGTGCGTATTTTCCTCTACACAAGTACTTAAACATGTTTAAGATAAAACTGTTTTAGTAAAAAACTTGTGTATCGTTTTGTATCGATACACCAGTCGACGATATACGATAGCTGTATCAAACTAAACATATTAAAATGTATCGTTATGTATCAGTGCATCAGTGAATCAACCCAGCCCTACTCAGTCCCTGCCCCCCTTTTATCAAAACCATCTTAGGATGAGTGAGTGAGTGAGTTTAGTTTTACACCGCTTTTAGCAATAATCTAGCAACATCACGGCTAGGGACACCAGATATGGGCTTCACATCGTACCCATGTTGGGAATCGAACCCGGGTCTTTGGCGTGACAAGCTAATGCTTTAACCACTAGCAGGCGCGTAGCAAGCCAATATTTTCGTGTAAGCCCAATAGGTTGCAAAGATTTATATTTAGATAGTACTGAGGGCTTGTCCAACCTTTTTAGCAAAAATCAGGTGTAAACCCGGGCTTTTTCTTGTAATGGCAGCTACGCCCCTGACTGGGCTATCCTCCGCCCCTATCTTAGAGCTACGATGATTGTAAGCCTGTGTTAAAGTGAATGAGTTACGATCATCTTAGCTTTAAGATGTTTCTGTGGAATGGGGACTAGTCCTATAGAATCATATTTCTAAAAATATTTAATCACATTGGAATCCAATGAGGAGGATAGTAGTCCTCTCTGACTGTAATATTCCCGATCTTCGTGTTCGGCTGCGGAAATCCTTTGAAGTACACGACATCTCCTGGCACCATGTAACCTGCCCACCATGAGTATGAGCCAGCTGTGATTATCATGTGACTGCAACTGGTCAAAACCGCCAGGTCGACATTTCCGTCAGGGTTGTGCGAGTAATACACATCGGGTCCAACATCCAAATTATCCTCGGCCCAGAAGATATCATTGCTACACACGATAAATAAAACATTACCATACTTCCTCCGGAAATAATTCATAGCTTGGTAAAAATACGGCAATGGAGCTGCCGTGTACCCTTTCAATGTCTGACGAACAAAATCTCCCCTTCGTACATGAACTCCGACCAAAGCTGCACCATGTTTGTTTTTTAACGTCAACACATTTTCTAAAAATTCTTTCGCTTTCTGTTTGATCTCATCCTTGTAAACGAAGTGTTTTGATATCAGTTCATCTTTGACATTTTCAAAATATTTCCATGACTGGTAGTACCCAGCTAGCAGAGCATTGTACGGTTTAAGATGCCTTGTTTTGTTAAAATATGCAGCTGCCTTCTCTTCATTGTATATATAATGCATATCTAGCAAATCTACATCGCCTTGCTGAGTCGGAAGATTAAACACGTCCAGCAGATCTATCTCTTTCGGAATGATGGGAATCATGCCATTTCGCTTCGCAACGCCAAGCAGGGTTCCGTACTCAAACATATGATTACCCAAACGGCCCCAGTAGGTGATCATGATGATAGGACGATCTGGTCGCTTCACCCGCGATATATCGAAGTTGGGGGATGGAACGATGGAACCTGGGATGACTCTGGGTTTGGTGAGGATGTTGAGCACGAGGTAGACCACAAGCAGGATCAGCGCCAACAGCAGTGCATAGAACCATTTCTGGCAGCGTCGGAACCACAACATGAGGACGGGACAGAGCCTGTTGTGGAACAGGACATATGCACAATAGGAGCATACAGCATGGATCCTGCAACAGACATGGAAGAAGTGTCACAAGATTGGCAGCCACATTCCAGCAACATCACTGCAGCCTTGCAACATTAGTATTATCAGCCATATTCCATACCATATCTAGACTCAGTGCCCTTGCCTGGCAAATTGAAAAAAAGGAAAGAAGTTTATACGCTTTATGTCTTTAAATTCATGTCCGCCGTGATGTTGCTGGAATATCACTAAAAGCGGCGTAAAACCAAACTCAGTCAGTTAAATTCAGGTTTCACATGATCGGCAGCAATATTCCAGCAACCTTGTAGCGTAAGTATCATCAGCCATATCCCATACCATATCAAGATTCAGTGCCCTAGGACGGCAAATTGAGAAAAAATAGTTCCTTTTTTCAATATTATGTCTTTAAATTCAGACGTATTGTAACTTTGCATTTTAGGATGGCATTTGAAGCTAAAATATAAACTAAGCATTAAAATGCTTCCTTTTTGTGAAAAAGATGTGTACATTAGTTTAAACTTAAGGACCAGTATAGGTAAATAGATATATGTTAACATGGACATGATGAATGGGGATGGGAATTTCTGATGACAATTTGGCAGACAGAGGGATCCAATATCTGCCTTTTGATAAATCCCCCATATCATTGAGTCTAGTGATAGAACAGAACAGAATTTAGTGATAGTGAACTTAGGAACGTGTTGGTCTCAGAGTACTTCAATGTGTTCATTCTAACTATGCAGTATGGTCCCAGATAGCTAGTGCTCTGCCTAACTATGGAACATGGTCCCAGATAGCTAGTGCTCTGCCTAACTATGGAACAGTTTGGTTTCAGAGTGCTGGTGTTCTGCCTAACTATGGAACAGTTTGGTCTCAGAGTGCTAGTGTTCTCTTGGATGCTGCACCAGCTTCCAGCCTCCATCCATCAACAGCTTCAGCAGTGTCTGTCAGTTTGTCTTCGTCAAATCAAGCACAGCTCTGCATGACTGACTATGGACAAACTTGTTTGTGTACATGCTTGATGGCAGGACCGTCTGACTGCCACGGTCCTACACATGTCAGCACATGCTGCATCAGGATGGAGATGTCGGCTGGCGTCATCAGCAGCTCAAACCTTTTACCTCTCATCACAGACCAAACACTCGTAACCATCGCAATATTAAAACATTGTCATATTCTGGACAAGAAAACACCTTCTACCAACCAAGCATCATGTAACTTTGCCACTGTGTGGTGAATTGGGTTTACATTGTGTTCAAGATTATTGCACTTCTTAATCCATGGGTGTGGTAAAACTTTATCGCAGCGATCTGTAAATAATCGAGTCTTAACCAGACAATCCAGTGATCAACAGAATGGTCATCGATCTATGTAGTTTGGAACACGGGATATGATGACATGTGTCAACCAAGCCAGCGAGCATGACAACCCGAATCCCGTTAGTCGACTCTTATGACAAGCATGGGTAACTGAAGATCAATTCTAACCTGGATCTTCACAGGTAGTCGATGTTTTGAATCATGAACATACAGTTGTATTATATTACAAAAAAGCAACATTCCATATTTTATATGGTAACAAATCTTTTCAACAGGCAGGTGTGAGGACAACTGGGAAACCCATGTCAATCATCTACCCATCTTACAAGTAGCATAATTGGACAAAATCTGAGCAGATTTACATAATCGATACATACCATTTTGCAGGGTCCCAGATAATTTTTCAACATCAGGAGTACGTACTCCTTATTTGTTCAATATTGAGTACTGGAAAACCTTAAGTGTACATTTAGAGTACTAAATGGAAGCTAATGGACTATCAGTAATCTTGTGTTTCGTTTCATATATGCACCACAACATTGCTACTCTTGTGTAAACATGTCAATAAACAATAAAACAATACTTTTTTTCAGATAAATACGACTGTAAATGATTCTAAGACCGTACACCATTGCTGTGGTGCCTATCTGCTACGTTTTCTAAATTATTTCCACCGTGATCGCATATTTTTTTATCCGCAGACATTACTTAAACGGTCCTTATCTGGAGCCCTGCATTTTGTTACCAAACACTCCCATCCACGTCACACATGCACCAAATCTCCATTCTGATCCATGTCATCTACCACTAACAAGAACATCAGTTTGTTCAATACAACACCTTGCACATTAAATGGAAACATATTGATCTCTAATTGTAAATGTTTTTCCTAACAGGCAGGGTTTCAACTAACACATGCTTCTATTACGTACATCTAAGTACAACATATACATTGTGCCCCAAGGGGTGCACAAAAATATTCACTGTACCAAATTATTCCCAAGAAATATATAGTTCATGTAATCTAAATATATAATTAAAAAGTCTTACAGATCAGTAAATTACACAATTTCGTTATTTTACAAGTACCGTCATATTTCCTGTCAGGACCCTTGAAATTACTAACTGGGGGTCGTCTTGACCCCTAAGTTTGTAGGTTATGTTAACATGATTAAAATGATTGTGGTGATTGATGGCTTCTGCCTAACTGTGGAACATGGTCCCAGATTGCTAGTACTCTGCCTAACTGTGGAACATGGTCCCAGATTGCTAGTACTCTGCCTAACTATTCAACATGGTCCCAGATTGCTAGTACTCTGCCTAACTATTCAACATCGTCCCAGAATGCTTCAGGGCTCGATTTAGTGCTGTGTTACATGTACTGGTGCAAGCCAATATTACAAAGTGCAACCTAGTTATTAATCAAACTTGCATCAGGTGCAAGTCAATTGTTGAGTTGGTAAACTTCTAAATAAAACATCTAAATAATTCATTGGCATATTTCTTTCATTACATACTGCCATAAAAGCAGTGCAACTGTAATTTGGCTGGTGCAACTAGGTTTTATCTTAGGTTGCACCTGGTGCAAGTAGGTTAACATATCTTATCACGTTGACTCCCTATCATAGTATATATCAGATCAATTCTGGGCCTAATGTGCCACTACTGAGTTATCTCAGAGTGGCAAATGGTATTTGAAACAAGTTTCACATGTTGGCAAAATAGGCACAAGAAACAAACGTCTTCTGGTGTTCTTTGTTACCGCCAGGAAACGATTGCTTCTTGTGACTGTTTTGCCAACATGTGAAACCTGTTACAAAATATCATTGATGCAGCTACGAGATAACTTGTAGTGGCAAATTCAGCCAGACATTGATACTGCTAGTGCTCACCTTAACCATGTATACCTGGGTGGCAGTCAATATGTTAAATAGAGCCCTGTGCTTGCATTCCTCCTAACTTTGCAACATGGTCCCAGAATGCAAGTGTTCTGCCTAACTTTGGAACAGTTTGGTTTCAGAGTGCTAGTGTTCTGCCTAACTATGGAACAGTTTGGTCTCAGAGTGCTAGTGTTCTCTTGGATGCTGCACCAGCTTCCAGCCTCCATCCATCAACAGCTTCAGCAGTGTCTGTCAGTTTGTCTACGTCAAATCAAGCACAGCTCTGCATGACTGACTATGGACAAACTTGTTGGTGTACATGCTTGATGGCAGGACCGTCTGACTGCCACGGTCCTACACATGTCAGCACATGCTGCATCAGGATGGAGATGTCGGCTGGCGTCATCAGCAGCTCAAACCTTTTACCTCTCATCACAGACCAAACACTCGTAACCATGGCAATATTAAAACACTGTCATATTCTGGACAAGAAAACACCTTCTACCAACCAAGCATCATGTAACTTTGCCACTGTGTGGTGAATTGGGTTTACATTGTGTTCAAGATTATTGCACTTCTTAAACAACGGGTGTGGTAAAACTTTATCGCAGCGATCTGTAAATAATCGAGTCTTAACCAGACAATCCAGTGATCAACAGAATGGTCATCGATCTATGTAGTTTGGAACACAGGATATGATGACATGTGTCAACCAAGCCAGCAAGCCTGACAACCCGATCCCGTTAGTCGCCTCTTACGACAAGCATGGGTAACTGAAGATCAATTCTAACCTGGATCTTCACAGGTAGTCAATGTTTTGAATCATGAACATACAGTTGTATTATATTACAAAAAAGCAACATTCCATATTTTATATGGCAACAAATCTTTTCAGCAGGCAGGTGTGAGGACAACTAGGAAACCCATGTCAATCATCTACCCATCTTACAAGTACTGGAAGTAGCATAACTTGTTGAAGTTATTGTGGTGAAATGTACTTCAGCCATCAGAGGTTCACCACAATCATAAAGAGTTGTAGACATATGGCATCACTGTAGAAACATGCCAGTAGAGTGATCTCCCCTTATGCTGTGTAATGGCCACCATGCTGAACACATGGCTTTTTATATAAAGGACCTTTTACGCTTTTTATATAAAGGACCTTTTAAGCCAAAGTCCTTGTTTTTTATACAAGTCTAAGACTATTACAGTTATCAGTGAAATAAAGGTTATCTCTACAAAGCAGTGAATGGGAAATTTTGGAAGTTTTAGTGATTTTCTGAAGCCTTTGTGGACAAATCTGAGTAGATTTACATAATCCCTACATACCATTTTGGTACCAAACACTCCCATCCACGTCACACATGCACCAAATCTCCATTCTGATCCATTTCATCTACCACTAACAAGAACATCAGTTTGTTCAATACAACACCTTGCACATTAAATGGAAACATATTGATCTCTAATTGTAAATGTTTTTCCTAACAGGCAGGGTTTCAACTAACACATGCTTCTATTACGTACATCTAAGTACAAAATATACATTGTGCCCCAAGGGGTGCACAAAAATATTCACTGTACCAAATTATTCCCAAGAAATATATAGTTCATGTAATCAAAATATATAATTACAAAATCTTACAGATCAGTAAATTACACAATTTCATTACTTTCCAAGTACCGTCATATTTCCTGTCAGGACCCTTGAAATCATTAACTGGGGGTCGTCTTGACCCATAGGTTTGTAGGTTATGTTAACATGATTAAAATGATTATGGTCATTGATGGCTTCTGCCTAACTGTGGAACATGGTCCCAGATTGCTAGTACTCTGCCTAACTGTGGAACATGGTCCCAGATTGCTAGTACTCTGCCTAACTATTCAACATGGTCCCAGATTGCTAGTACTCTGCCTAACTATTCAACATCGTCCCAGAATGCTTCAGGGCTCGATTTAGTGCTTTGTTACATGTACTGGTGCAAGCCAATATTACAAAGTGCAACCTAGTTATTAATCAAACTTGCACCAGGTGCAAGTCAATTGTTGAGTTGGTAAACTTCTAAATAAAACATCTAAATAATTCATTGGCATATTTCTTTCATTACATATTGCCATAAAAGCAGTGCAACTGTAATTTGGCTGGTGCAACTAGGTTTTTATCTTAGGTTGCACCTGGTGCAAGTAGGTTAACATCTCTTATCACGTTGACTCCCTATCACGAGTATACTCGTATCAATTCTGGCCTAATGTGCCACTACGAGTTATCTCATAGTGGCAAAATGGTATTTGGAAACAAGTTTCACATGTTGGCAAAATAGGCACAAGAAACAAACGTCTCCTGGTGTTCTTTGTTACCGCCAGGAGACGATTGCTTCTTGTGACTGTTTTGCCAACATGTGAAACCTGTTACAAAATATCATTGATGCAGCTACGAGATAACTTGTAGTGGCAAATTCAGCCAGACATTGATACTACGAGTATACCTGGGTGGCAGTCAATATGTTAAATAGAGCCCTGTGCTTGCATTCCTCCTAACTTTGCAACATGGTCCCAGAATGCAAGTGTTCTGCCTAACTTTGGAACAGTTTGGTTTCAGAGTGCTGGTGTTCTGCCTAACTATGGAACAGTTTGGTCTCAGAGTGCTAGTGTTCTGCCTAACTATGGAACAGTTTGGTCTCAGAGTGCTAGTGTTCTCTTGGATGCTGCACCAGCTTCCAGCCTCCATCCATCAACAGCTTCAGCAGTGTCTGTCAGTTTGTCTTCGTCAAATCAAGCACAGCTCTGCATGACTGACTATGGACAAACTTGTTGGTGTACATGCTTGATGGCAGGACCGTCTGACTGCCACGGTCCTACACATGTCAGCACATGCTGCATCAGGATGGAGATGTCGGCTGGCGTCATCAGCAGCTCAAACCTTTTACCTCTCATCACAGACCAAACACTTCCGACCATTGAGTGAGGAAGGTGTTACAGTGCTTTTAGCAACATTTAAACAATATTCATATCATGGCATACACAGAAAAGAGCACACCATGCATGAGAAGTGAATGCTTTAGCCACTAGGCTAACCATACTCCCCCATAACTAAGGAAGTAATAACCATAGTCTCAAATTTGGACAAGCAACACCTTCCTACCAACCAAGCATCAAGCCAAGTATTTTATTATGTGTGTCGAATGGGGTCTTATATTGCTTTCAATATTATGGCTGTAACGATTCACTCGCATATTCGGTGAATCGAACCGTAGCCCTTCATGAATTCAATTCGTTATTCGTGGTCACCAGAGCCGAATATTTACGATTTTTTTAATTGAGCATGTTTTACTTGAACCCATATGTCCTTTCCAAAGTGAGATGTGCAAGAATGGAACATGTACTAGCATTGCAGTAGTGCAAGTCATGTTAGTTTGCCAAGACTGCACATGGTACAGTCGACTATAACTATTACATACCAAATTTGAGTGTCATGAGATCATTAGTTATTGCTGTGACAAATCGAAACTGTCAACATGGGCGTTCCATATTGTACATCAATCACTTAACTACGATTTTGTATTCGTGAATAATTATTCGTATTCGTTACCCAATTTTCATGATACGTATCATATTCGCCACATAGTGTATTCGTTGCAGCCCTTTGAATCAATATTACTGCAGGGCTACAGATAACTTTTGGGGGTGTGAGTGTACTTACACATCATATTGCAAGTGGAAGTGTACTGAGAATTTTGAAGGAGTACTGACATGTTTTTGTGTGAGCGAGTTGATGTGGTTTGTCTGGATGATTCATCGATCACTTTTTCCAACCATGTATTTGTATTTGAAGACGCGTAAGAAATAACTGAGCGACTGTGTGATTTGTGAAATGTCAGGTCCGACTGGATATAAATAGGAACAGTGTAGTTTTCAGCCAATCGAAAAATAGTGACACATATCGTTGCATGGCAAAGCAAGGGATTCCTACTGTCAGGGTTTCCTTATGTGTCAAATCGTGTTTCGCAAAAGAAACTAAACAAGTATTTATCCGAAATAGATTTCCAATTGCACGATAAGCACGGAAATTAAAAGCTAGACGTACGAAGGTATTTATGTGCGTACACGATACACTTGAAATCTTATATTATGTCGTACTTAATTGATTTTAAGGAGTACATTACGCCTGTAAGCGACGGATATGCACATTCCTTTACAAGTCCGGTGAGGTCTTAGTGCTAGCCAAATGAGAAACCATGCCACAGTTTAATATGGTTACCCCACTCACAGTTACTGACTCCAAACAAACAGCCCTTCTTTTATCATCTAAATGCTCAGTGACAGATATCTTTTAGCATGAAGCACATATCAAAACAGTGACATTCCACTCTCCACGTAGACTAACGAGTTGTCTTAGAATATATTTGACAGTAACAAATAATCCCATTTAAATTGAAAAGGGGCCCCAGTGAGATGGGAGATTCAGAACTTGGACCTGAAGAAAGCTAGATTTGCTTCATTACCGACTTTAGCATTGCAGGAAGGGCCAAGCAGTAGGAAAAATAATGTGGTTCAGAAACTGAGAGACAGACTACTCTCAAACCATGCAGGTCCGTTTTACATTGGACATTGCCCACTGTATGTGCCTTTAACGATATATTGTATGTCCATTCCTTTAACGGGTATCTTATGCACACGAACGTGGGCGACTTGCGCAAATGTCTATCCGTGTTTATTATCCACGAGGTCAACGTATGGGTAGTTGCATACTAATCTAGTACGTCACTCGAGTGTCGTATCGTGTTGACCTGAGATTCTAACAATATGATTGGATAACCGATGACCACTCAATTAGGTCACATTCAGACGTAACTATTTTTCCATTCATAACAAACACGTGAATTCATTCATTCTACAACTTAAATGCATTGTGGGAATGTAAACATTGCGAACGTTGCCGTGTCGCTGTTTATTTGAGTCGAACTGAGACATTATATCCGTCGAAAAACAAACACAATGTTTCCACCAGTGATGTTAGCCGAATGAAGCGACTGGAAACCGAGAAACGAGGTGCTACGGAGTAGTTTACTGTAGGAGGCTGTACGAGGCAATGACAACTGACATGCATCGTGACGTCGGTTACCAAGGCAGTGACGTCATTACAGTGTGACGTCATGCAAATATTGTACTGCAGTACAAAACTCTTCCACAACCTCTTCATGAAACCGGTTTCGGTTTGAAACCAAAAACATAACAAAAATACGCTATTTTGTCAATTTAATGCATGTAAGACGTGGGTAATAAATAAAATACCACACTCGGTCTCATTACATACGAATTATACGAAACTCGTAACCTTCCTATGTTATCTATCTGACTTCGCTTTCGCTCGGTCAGATACCACAGGAAGGACACTCGTTTCGTATAATTCGTATGTAATGAGACCTCGTGTAGTATTCTCTATATATGCAGCATGATTATGCTAATGTAAACTACAGCTATAAACACAAAAAGCACACCAATTCCAATATTCCATACTCTCATATTTGTGGAAAACACACCGCCACATATGACGTAACTAAGGCAGACGCACAAACGAAAACACACACCACAGTAACACCAGGTAAGAATTATACCAAACGCACCTTTGTTAATTCATGCTGCAAAAAAAGAATATTGAACCGTTAGTGACCAATCCATACCTTGGTAGAAGCACCGACATGGGAATGAGTTAAACTATCGACATTATCCCGCTTCAACTCTTTACCCAAACATGCTCTCCATGACTTTATGTTGAAACTTGCAACTTCCGTATGGTTATCTCTAAAAGTTGATTCGAAATGTTACGAAACGAAATCACATAGCAAATTCAGCGACTGACTGTTGAGTTCAGCATATTCGTAACGTTTAACATTACCTGTATTTCATTTACAAGTGTGTTATTTTCACATCCCCGCTACTTTATTCACAATGGCTTCTAAACCAAAACGAATTATTACTAGAAATTATCGAAAACGGCACCCAAACGTTTCCGGAAGTGGAACCAAGCATGAATGACATCACAAACTCTGCTGAAACAGGGTAGTCCAGTCAAAATGTGACAAAACCTCCAAATAATTGGTACAGAAACGATTTGAGTGTTTTCAACATGTTTAAGTTATAGCTAATGAGTATTAAAAATCCTCCCTTGAAATATGATGCTAAGTCCTATTTTGGGGGGTAAAAGGTTTAAAAATTGAAATCTTCAGTAAATAATTTTTAAAATCTCATATTGAGACACAAATTTACCTTTATATATATATATTCAAAGAGTAAACACGGTACTACCAATAGATGAATTAGAAAAGTAAAATAATGTTATCCGAAGTCCTATTTTGGGGTAAAAAGTTAAAAAATTGAAATTGTAAGAGAATATTTTTAAAAATTTCATATTAAGACACAAATGTATTTTTTATGGATATTTTCAAAGATTACACAAGGTATTTCTAATACATGGGTTATAAAAGTCAATTAGATGTATGCTAAATCCTATTTTTGGGTAAAAAATTTAAAAGTCATAATTTGAATAAAACCATAAGATAAAAGACTTTCCAGAGCATATATTTTCTTTTTTCAAGGGTAAAATAAACACAACTTCAGGAGCATGCAATTTAGTTCCTCTGTTTGCCCCATCAAAGTTATGATTAATCTATCCTCTATCAATATGGAGAAACTGTTATATCTCTAAAACTAACACATAATCATTCATAAACTTTGAACAGAGAGATCAAGTTATGAACTTGAGCTCTGTGCTATTTTAAGATGATGAAATGTGTATTTATTGTTTCCTTGGCAATACGTTTGACTTTGTCCATGGTAGTATACTTGCAACGGCTATCTCCAAAGCCAATAGGAGTTCTAAATATTAAGAGACTAAGTGGAGCCTTTGCTCTCCAGGTATTTGTCCATGACACCAGGTTTAGGTTTACTAAAAGAAGAATGTATTTATTGCTAAGACTGAAATCCACATCAATATTTTTCTGCTGTAAGCTCATGGAACCGACTGAAGTACAGGGGACCAGATCATGCATGATGGAACTTCCATGTCAACATATGGGTGACACATTCTCACAGTAAATCCATTACAGTGTCCTATGTGAGATATTATCTGTCAAATACAACCAGCTGACTACCACGTGAAAATGAATCTGTGTAGATTACTTGACTCTGGTTAACCTAATATATGTGGCTTGTCGAAATGTGTATCGATATTGTACGACTTTGTCTTGACCGCTCACAAACACGTAAGTTGAGCAAATACAGCTTTGGGTCTGGGATTCAGGTTGATCATAGGCACGAAGGTGACATAACTCAATACTGAGAATGATACAATCTAGTGATTCATTTTATATTCTACATGAAGTGTTCAAGACCTCAAGCAATCTGATTCAGCATCTCCGTAACGTATGAACCCATCCCTTTTAGCGCATCAACACCTCAGCATTCTTGTCAAACAGTCACCTAATATTTGCAAAAACGTCACCGGTATGTGTTAATCCATGTTCTCAGATTGATCTACATTATCTGTTGCAAATTGAATGGACTGACCCTGTGTACATCCATTTCCGGAAGCACTTAGCTCCTTCTTCTGTAACTAGAGATTGTAATAATGAACAAGATATTAATTAACATATCGGTTTGCTTGAACTATAGTGATGGTGACCATGAATACCAAGGGCTTGACAGAGATACCCTTGGTCTCATAGTCCGTATATTTGAATTAATTTTGAGTATCATGCTTGGTGACAATGCTATTCCAAGCCAAACTTAACAGTAACAGAAGATATTCTCAGTAAAGGAAGTCCAATAATGTGAAGGGTTGTGTTCAGGCTAACTTCAACATTTGAGATGTGGTTGGGTGAGGCGATTTGATTCAACGGTGCTTGCAATATATTTTTCACTTACTGGTACATCGAATTGTACATGATTTCATGACAGTTACCCCCAAAGACATGTTATACCATGGTATATAGTCATCCCTGTGTCAGTCAGAAATCTTTTCGTTTCCTGAGCAAACTTTAAAGATGGTTGATATGTACAAGTATATGCACCACTTACTATTTAAGTATTTGAAATACTTAAAGTATTTGTCCCTTAGTTATTTCAGTTTCAAAAATACCAATATTATTAAATTGTTTACTAGTAGTTAAAAGGACAATACCGGTTGTGCTTTCATAACCTTTCTAGAGCTTTGATCAAGTAGCCCAGTGAAGATCCAGTTTAGAATTGATCTTCAGTAACCCATATTATTTACTGACCAATGCCATATAGCTGAATAAATTCTGAGTGCGACGTTAAACAACTAAAATGAAGATTACATAGATTTGTCAGAAAAGACAACACATTTCCCTTTATGTAGGACCTAATATATTTGTCAGGTGCCGTATTTGTTTGAATAAGATACAGATACAACTTTTTGAGAAAAGGGCACAGTTCATTATCTGTTTCTAGTTTTCTTCTGGTACGGAACTTGAAAAGGATGACCATGGTTAGCCACAAACGTTATATATTTGACCCGTGAAGATCCGGGGTGGAATAGGTCTTCAGCAACCCATGCTTGCCACAAAAGGCGACGATGCTTGTCGTAAGAGGCGACTAACGGAATCGGGTGGTCAGGCTCGCTGACTTGGTTGACACATGTCATGTTATCGGTTCCCAATTGCGCAGATCGATGCTCATGCTGTTGATCACTGGATTGTCTGGTCCAGACTCGATTATTTACAGACCGCCGCCATATAGCTGGAATATTGCTGAGTGCGGCATAAAACTAAACTCACTCACTCACTCACTCACTCACTCACTCACAAACGTTATTTTATAGTATAGTTTTTATGTCTTGCATGTCCATTTGTGCACAAACAACTCCAAATTGAGTGAAAGTGATGCATTTTGCGCATGTTACTTAAATAGAAGCTATTCTAAGATTTGTTGATCGATTTGTTTCAATCACTCGTGCATGGTTAACTGTTTTATCAAATATGTAGCATAAATGTAATATTTAGAAATAACAAATTATTTTACATAGTCTCTGAAACTTAAATGTATTTTTCTTCAAATTGCAACGATAACTTTGAAAAAACATCTTTTAAAATATTTTTATATAAGTTATGAAGAATCACGGGTCATGTGACAGCTCCAAACACAATATCAGTTTGCTGTGGTTTGAAACCCTAGTGGTTAACGAAAGCTATACAAATGAATGATCTATAGGACCACCAGGCTTATCTGACATATTTTACGTGCGCTTCGAAAACACGTTAGCACCCTCCTCAAGGGTGATATGGATTTCAACGCTCGAGCCGTCAGGCGAGAGCGTTGAATCCATATCACCCGCAGAGGGAGGGTGCTAACCTACTTATACCACGTGGGCGCCGAATAGACTCGTACATTGCTTGTTGCACGTGCGTTTCCTGCACCGCCAAGGTTGTTATCCACATATCAACCTCTGCACGTGTAGATAGAAGGTTGATACACAGAAAATCAACCTGCCAGAACAATGGACATAACACACCCTAGTGGTATAATCTTTTATTAATACCCCTGAAAAGGCTCTAATTTACATTTGTTTGGTGAGGTGAGGTGAAATTGGGTTTAACGTCGTGCTTGAAAATATTTCGCTCATATCACGACGTGCATGCGTGTGTATGTGTATGTGCGTCTGCTTGTACTAGCCCAGACTTAAGCTGGTTTTATAGTGCTAGCCCACTGAGATACCATGCCGCAGTGAAGCATGAATACCCCATACCCCACTCAGACACATTATACTGACTCCGAGCCGACCAGTCCTTGTTGTACCCATTAATGCCGAGCGCCAGGCAGGGACCAACAAGTACTATATTTTAACGTCTTTTGGTATGACGCGGTCGGGGATCGAACCCGCGACCTTCCGCTCTCCAGGCGGACGCTCTAACCACTACACCACAGAGGCGGTCCATTTGTTTGGAGATATGCCAGATTCTTGGCACCATTAATAATGTTAATGCATATATGAATGGATGTATGTTCGTTTAAACAAACCTAAAATATTAAAATATCGCAATAGTTAGTGAACCTGATTAGTTTATGCGGCTTTCCTTAGTATCAGTCAGTGAGTGGGGCAGCAGAAACAGGCTTCACACAAGTCGTAGTCATGTTGGGAATCGAACCCGGACATACGGCGTGACGAGCGAACATTTTAACCATTATAATACCTCTGTGCCGTCTTTACTAGCTTAAGTCCCCTTTAGGTTCAGACGTTTTAGTCTACCTGATGGTAGCTTAAACCATTTTTCGTGTATAATAATGCCCCCTAAAGGTTTTAATTGATTTTCAGCAGTCCATGCTTTTCTGTGAAGATCCGGTTTTAAAATGAGTCCTTAGAAACTCATGCTTGTCTCCCTGTGAAGATCCGGGTTAAAATGAGTTTTCAGGAACTCATACTTGTCGCTCCGAGAAAAGCTGTGTTAAGATGAGGCTTTGGTAACCGATGTTTGTATCTCCGTGAGGCCTGGGCTAAAATTGATCTATTGTAAGAGGCGACGAAGTGGATCGGGTACCGAGTCTCGCGATCGCTGATGCACGTCATCGTAACCGGAATGGGTAGATCGATGCTCATGATGTCATCGATAATACATCGGCCATGGAATTGTATTCAAAGATATCCGTAAACATGGCTGGAATTGTCAGCATTAAACACACAATCAACGTGTATGTACACAAGGGTAATCAACATGTCATTACTAGGTGTTCGAACGCCGTCAACTACCTCGGTCAGCAATGGGAC